TAATAATAATTACTTATATATATATATATATATATATATATATATATATATATATATATCTTACACACGTACGTACCCTACTCTTTTCTTGGGTGCAAGAGAGAAAGTTTGACAAAATATATTGTTATTATTATTATTATTATTTTTTCGTTGAATTGGTCAGACTAAATATGTTATTCTATGAACGGTTTAGGTTCTTATTCAATCACTTTAGGGTACCATTTTTGTTCCTTTTTATTTGTTTATCTAAATAATTAATAAATTGTTGATTATTTGATTTACTTTTACTTGATGATAATATTTCAATCGAGGGAACCCAGTCAAATTTTTTACATTTAACCGAATCAATTATTTCTTTTAATTGATTCAAGAGCAACGATCTTACAAGACATACAAAAGGATTAAACTATAAACTTGATTCGTACGCTTGACTCACTTTTTTTTTGTTTTAGTTTTAGTCTCTACATATAAATTCCTATATTTTAGTTTACTCTATGAATAATCATTTATTTTTTCACAATTTGGTCCCTAGCTGCCATTTACAGCTATTATGACAGCAGAGTATTTTTGTTTTCAATAAATTAAAATGAAAATTGATATCAAATATAAAGATCTAATTTAAACACTGTTATAACTTTAATAAGCAATAAAGATCGGTTCGTAAACAGCTTTTATGTAGGACTAAAATTAAAAGTTTTAAGTACTAAAAAAATAGTATCAAGTGTATTGACTAAATTTATAATAATATCTATATTAATAAAGGAGATACTTTGTTTTAGTGTCCATATTCATTTGGACTTCTTTACCTCCTTAACTAGTTTACTTAATTATTTAATTATTTTAAAGTTAATTGCATACTTTTATGATTTCATCATTTATATTTTTTTTATTTGTTTACAGAGAGATAAGGAATTTTTTTTCCATTAGTATAATATAATACATCTTACTAATTTAATTTCATTATATTTCATCCTATTTTACCAATTCAAACTATAAAAATAGTGTCATTATATTTCATTATGATCTTCTACAACTTCCAAGTCAACACTTCAAACGACGCTCCGATAAATTCGGAATGGAAATGTGAAGTGGTGTGAACGGTTAGCAATCCCATCAATTCACGTCAATACTTCCCTAACACATTAGTACAAAGTAGCAGTTAGACACTAGAATGAGTTTATAGGCAAACAGAAGTGTAAAACTGCAAAAGTGCCACTTGCGTTGAGGGGAAAAAAAATTGAAATTGACTGTGGTCTACCAAAATCTAACTACTCTAAGTTGATTCAAATCCAAAGATGGAGCTCACACGTCAAACCAGTAATTTAAGGAGAAAATAGTACATGAACTGACAATAAAGAAATTGTTTTGTTCATGTTATTGACTTATTACCCACGTTTCACAAAATTACTGGAACTGTGATTTTATAATGCAGCAACCATTTGACATTGTGTCTTTGTTTTCTAGTTATTTCAATGCAGAGGTTGAGTAAAAGCAAAAACAAAAATGTTGCTTCCATTTTACGCAATTAGAATTTGTTTAAATCAATTTCAATCGTAAATTACATTAATACTCATGTCAGCACTTGCCTAATTGTGAAACAAACATGCTTTAAGTCGTACACTCTGGGCATTGCTTGAGGAGTGGGGGGTAAGAGGGAGAGACAGGTTGAAATGATTTTTCAAGAAAGTCCACTCATGGTTCTACTTCAAATCGTTTGTGGGCTTTTTTTATAACAACTACTCAATTCTTCAATATGTATGATACTCCATCCCATGGGCCTCGAGAAAGCTCAGTTGAGTTTAATTGTTAAGTTGCTCTATTCGTTATGGGTTAAAAAAAGGGCTCTTCGTTGGTCAAATGTTTACATATCACAGAAGATTTACCAGTCAGCTCGTGTTGCACTACTACATTACATTTACATCAGAAGAAAAAAAAAGGTATTCACTTTCAGGGCAGGTCATAACACAGCTTGATTAGGCAATGATAAAATGAAAACAATAAGGTTTACACGCTCATCCAACAAAATGGTATAATTACATTGCCTAAAGTTGAAATTTGCTCTATGTTGTATATTTGAGGATAATATCAGGGCTGATGGAAAGAGTTAGCTCCTTGTTCGTGGTGATGATTGGTACCTGGCTGGCTAACCACAGGAATATCCAAGCTGCTTCCATCAGTTTCAGGTGCTACTTCCCTTACATCAGCTATCCTTGCCTCTGTTGCCTGAATATCACTCCATTCATTGTCTCCAACTGCCTGAATGTTCACCTGATCTGTTGCCATGTGGACTACATTCTCTGCAGGTACCGGGATAGCTCTAGAAACACTCAGGCATGCTTTATCCACATTCTCTTCTGTGGGGTCAACATGCTTTGTATCTGAGCATGACTCTGTCTTCTCAAAAACTTGAGTTGTATCAATGTGTTGCCTGTTGAAAAATATCTGTATGTCAACTTTGGTTTTATGATGCTACACATTTCAAAGCTGATATTCACTAAAAGGCAAACAAACCATCAAAAGGTTTCTCTAATTTCCCTGTTTTGCCAGGTATTGATAATACTATTTCCATCTTCACGTTTAGGTGGGAAAAGAGTGGTCAACAAACCTAATTAACAAAATAAAATGCAAGGACAAAAGAAAATAAGATGCCTGACCTTTGAAGTTGGGCTTTTAGTACATTCACATATGCAAGAAGCTCTTCCTTCTCTTTCGTTGCTGCAGATTCTCTCTGAACAGCCTCCTTTATCCTAGCTTCAGCATTTGCTTCTGCCACCCTAACCTTTTCTTCCGCTCTTACTACAGCTGCTTCTAAGATCACATCATGCTCTCTAGCTTTTGCCAGTTCAGAACGCCACATATTTGCTTCCTGAATAGCAGCATCTCGCTGCTTGATTACTTGCTCTCTTTCTTTGATTAAGCCTACAATCTTTTCTTCGGACTCTTTTAGCTACAAAAAACAATTTAAGACAAGATGAACATTCAAGACAATTTCATTGCAAGTAACACCCATAGTAATAGCTAAGGGTCAATTGTCCAAAGCAGTTTACTGAATCACTTGAATTTCTGTTGCCCAAAAAATATTTTCATATGAACCAGCACAAAGGCATACCTTCTGTGTAAACAAGTCTTGCTGCTTCTCAGAATCTTTATTCAAACGCTCAATTTCTACACAAGCAATTCTCCGTTGCTCATCCATAGTATAAGCAGCAGATGCTGCAGCCTCAGCAGCTTCAGCAGTCTCAGACAGTTTATCTGCTATATCTTTTATAGTTGAATCACGTGCCCGAATGTCTCGAGACAAATTTTGTAGCTCCTCATCCTTAACTCTTAGTGTTTCCTGTAGAGTGTAGCAGCATCCTCAGAACCAAATCCAAAGCAATAAAGTACCATAAAGGACCAAGAAGACAATAAATAACCAGGTACAAATATTCCTTGTCTAATTAAACAAATCCTCTCTATTTATATCCAACCTCCTTGTTCCTCTTCAAAATCTTGGTCCCTAGGACCCCCCCCCAACCCCACTCCAAATGAGAGAATAAGAGATATTCCCTAACATACTTTACTACTTTCCTTTCCTTTTATTTTTCTTTTTCTAAGCAAGTGAACATAAATCAGAAGACTGCAAAGGTCAGTGAGCCAAGTAAACAGTGATACATAGGGGGTAGACCTCCCCTAACTCCAAAACCAAAGGAGAAATTCATGCATTTTCAAACAATAATGTGACAAGACATATTTCTATTCCTTAATACATGACAATGGCAGTTAAAGGACCCTTATCAAAATCCAATTTTAATGTGTATCTTGCAACAATCATTGTTTAATGAATTATGCAATGTTGTTATATAACAATTATAGCAAGTAATAACACCATAACAGTTTTTTTTAACACCTTCGCCACAGGCAATTGCCAATAGTGTGCTTATATGGTGGAATTTTGGCCTTCCGCCATTGATAACACTGAAAAAAAAAATATTACAAATTTACAATTAAATTTGTAGCATTGCACGGTCAAAATTTGTAAGATTTCTTTTTAAAAACTTTAAAAAAATTAATGATATAACTTTTCTTTTTTACTTTCTCAGAATAGTACTAAAATATTTTTGTTCCTGGAGTTTTAGTTATTTTAAAAAGTTCTATTAAACTTTTAATTCACTGTACATGACACATTTAACCTAGTCCTTGCACAAAAAAACAAGTTTGTAAATCAGTCCCTATTCATTCCTCATTCCGTCGTTGGTGTCACTTATAAGGAATGTGTTAGGAGCCCATGCATAAGAGAGCCAAGAGATAGAATGGAAGAAAGAAAGAATTAAGTGGAATTGTTATCGATATGCGAATCTTCTATGAAAAAGGAGGAATTCTCCTTCCAACAGTTTCCCCTATTTCACAACAGAGCTAATGCTTTGTCCGCAAATACTAACAACCCAGGATGATTCCTCTACCCTTGCAGCCCCCTATTTATTTATTTAACAAACTAATCCCATTTATTTAACTAACTAAT